TATATAAATATATAAATATATATATACATATATATACAACATATAGCATGAATATATATATAATATGTATTATAATACATAATATATATATATATTATATAATATACATGTATACATATATATATAATAACTATATATGTGGAATAATATATATAATATACCTTATAATAATATAATATATATATATAATACATATATATATAATTATAATAATATACGCTACTATGATAGTATATGTAAATAATAATTATGATTAATATGATATATATATTGAAATATATATATGTATAGTATATATATATAGTGTATGTATAATATATATATATATATATATTATATACGTTTATGTTTTTATATATGTATACTACATGTATGTATATGTATTTATATGTAATGTTATATGTATTATAATATATTATATATAATATATATATATATTATAATATAATATTATATATTATAATGATATTTATATATACCTGTATATATAGTAATGTATAAATGGTATATATAGTATATATATAATTTATCCTTTATTGTTTATTTATTTATTTATTAATGATATATAATATAATTTATAAATACAGTTATGTATAACTATATATAACTATTAATACATATATAATAAGTATATATACTATAAATATAAAATGTATGTACATGTATAGTAATGATATGATAATATATTATATATGTGTAGATCGATATATGCTTATATTATATATATAATACATGTATATATATACTATAATGATATAGTATATAATATTTATGTATAATATATATATATATTATAAATAATATATATACAGTATTAGTATATATAAATATATATATATATATATATATATTATATGTATATATATACGATATAAATATATGTTGACTATATATAGTATTATATACTATACGATACGAAAATTATGTATGATATATATATATTTACTAGTATATATATGTATGTATATAATATATGATTTTACGTTATGTATATGTATGTATCATACTGTCGATACTATATTACTATATATGTCATGTATATGTGTACCCTCCTCTCTCTCTCTTCTCTCTTCTCTCTTCTCTCTCTCTCTCTCTCTCTCTCTCTCTCTCTCTATCTCTCTATCCTCTCATATATCATCTACTATACTACTAATACTCACTATCTATATACTCATTCTCATTTCATCATCATATATACTCATATCTATATCATATCATCACTCACTATCATACTCATCACTACTATTAACTATATACTACTATATCATATCGACATAACTCACACTAGCTACTACCCTACTAGCCTACCTACTATATACTCACCCTACCCCTACCTCTATACCTACTCATATTCATATATCATATCATGTATCATATATATTCATTCCCCCTACCTATCCCACTATTACCCCCTATACTATATAATCTACTAAACGCCTATCCCCCCCCCACTTATTTACTATATAATATATTATTTTTTATATAATCTATACTATAATATTATAACTATTAATGCTATATTTCATATAAATATATATTCATCCCATATATAACATAATATCATTCATCATTACACTATATATATATATAATATAACTACCCTATATATATATACTATATATATAATGCTATACTTTACTATTACTATATATATATATGTGTGTGAACCTCGTGTGTGTGTGCTGAACTACTATACAAGTATATAGATCATATAATTATATAATATATCATATATATATTACCTCTATTGCCTTATATAGTATTCTATATTAATTAATTATATATATAATTATATATATTCTCACACTATTATATAAAATGCCTCAGTATATAATCTTTAAAGCGCCCTAACTATACTACTATACCTATACTATACTACTACTACTAGTATTATATCTATATTATTTGTATATATACAGTATATTGATATTACTATATATATCTAAGTATATATACACCCTAATATATAGTATATATGTATTTATGATACCTATATATACCTAGCCAGCGGACATGGTATATATAATATATATATATATATATATATTTTTTTTTTTTTTTTTTTTTTTTTTTTTTTAATAAAGTATGTGTGTATGTATGTGTGTGTATATTTTTATAAATTATTATTACTTTTTGTTATATTTGTTTTTTATTATTTTTATTTAAATTAATTTCTATTTGTGATATAATTTTGGATTATTTAATTATGGTAAACTATGTTTTCATCTGTTATGTAACAGATATTGAGAAGATGTTATTCATATTAAAGTGAGTTGAATAATTAACAGCAGCCTTCAATCAAGATATGGAATTTGAAATGAACAGTTAGATGTAAGTTGCTCATAGGCAGAAGCATTGCACGACTGATTGTTGCATATTAACAGATTCTCTTCCAGTTTCCAAACTTTGTACATTGTTGCAGAGACGTGAAGAGGGAGATTTAGCCAGCCTTAATTTAGGTCCTTTTAAAATTTCTCACTTTTGCAGGTAGTTTGAGCATTGTTTTATATTACAAAGATGGTCCAAAACTCTTTGATGGTCTTATCTCCTGTTTTGATGGTCTAATCTCCTGGATCAGTTTTAAAGATAGTAAATATTTCTGAACTATTGGTATCTTCACTTCTTACTTAATGCTTTGAGTTTTGGATATAAAACAGTGCTGAAACTTGGAGTGTGGATAGTGATGCTAAGGTCTTGTTTTTTCTGACTGATTATGATAGTGAATCCTGAAATAGACCTAAGAAATAAGTCCTTAGAAAAATAAGAATGTATTCCATTTTGGCTAGCTGTGTACATCTAATTGCAGCATAATGATGAGAAGAATTTTTTTCATAACAACTTTATTTAGTCATGTGATTTAAAATATTGCAAGTGGTAAAACTTTAAAATATATCTAGAGGTTTTGATATATGAAGTGAGATGAACAAGTATGGTCTTTTCATTAGCAAGGCGAGCAGTGTTTGTTACTTTAGAATAATGGTTACAGTATATATGTATTTCCATGGATTTACTCACAATGTGTGTACTAGATATAACTAGAGTCTTTTACATGGTTAACCTGTTGATACCACAAGTGCATGTATAAGTGCACTGGATTTGTTTTATTAAAATTGGCTCCAGAAGTACTTAGTCACCAAATAGTCAATCACTAGGCCTATTATTTACCCCGTTGCGTTTTTTGAAAAAGCTGCTTATTTTTGTTACCATTATTATTGTTCATAATGTTTTAATAGTAATGATAATGATAATGCTATTAATGAGTGTAATATTAGAAATAAACACTTTTCCCTGAATGCTCAAGGAGTGGAGTAAGCAAGTACGAATAGGTAGGCCTTGTAATTGACAAAACTCTGGAAATTATGTATAACTAAGATAAGAAAAAAAGAAGGCAGTGTATGTAGTTGGCACCAATGCGGTAATGTAGATGTCTATATGTAAGAATTAGTTTTATTCATGTTTGAGTGAGTAAGTGCGTGAGTGTATGAATATGTGTTTATATGTTGTGTATGCCTATGTGTTTATTTGTATGTTTTGTGTGTATATGTTGTTTTGTTGTTTTGTGTGTATGTTTGTGCATGCATATATATATATATATATATATATATATATATATATATATATATATATATATATATATATATATATATATATATATATATGTGTGTGGTGTGTGTGTGTGTGTGTGTGTGTGTGTGTGTGTGTGTGTGTGTGTGTGTGTGTGTGTGTGTGATTGTTTCCTTGTTTGTTTGGATGTGTGTGTGTTTATATATATATGTGTGTGTGTGTGTGTGTGTTTGTGTGTGTATGTATGTATGTATGTATATATGTATATTGTTTTGTTTGGATGTATATATACATCCATGGGTATGTGTGTGAATATGCTTGCATGTGTGCAGGCATACAGAAAAACTGTTGTGTAAGTGTGTATATGTTCTTATGTGTGCTAATGTATACATCTTCTTATCTACAAAATTAAAACAACTATATGTGTTCCCATTTCCTGAGCCATGTAAATATATTTTTTATTTCATAATTTAGTTAAATCTGCTGTCTCAGCTGTATTTTCATACTAAATTTGGTTTAGTGCTTCTGGAATCATATATGTTGGAGTGCTTTTGTTTTTCAAAGAGTGAATAGTATATAACAATGAAAGTATTAAACATATAAAATGATGCACTTGTGCTTTGGTGACATCTTACGTTTTCCTGCTTTGACTACAACCCCCTAATTGTTGCAGACATGTCAATCAATTCATTATGAATTTGAATACAGCTTACATCATTCTATGCCTGTCAGATTGTCATTGAGACCATCTTTTAAGGCTCTTATCAAAGTAAAAGCATTGTCTTTACCTTGCATACTTTATTGCACCAGTTATCAAGTGTAATCTTTGATGTAAAGAACTGTTAGAAAGATTCCAGTGTGTTTTGTAGAAATAATTAAGAATTGAGTTCTCTATTACATTTTTGTACAGATATATTGCTCCTTATTTATGGGAATAAGTAACTTGTATGACACATGCTGCATAGAGAGCTGTAGTGGATGTTGAGGTTTGAATTGTTGCTTTGAATAGTTTGTTTTAAACACTGCAGGAGGTTTGATATAAGTAATGATGGACTTGTCATCATATTAGGCCAGTTGAGATTCTTCATTCTGAATACGTTCTTCTGTAATGTATACTCTGTACCTTTGTTTACTGTATTACCCCTATTCATTGTGGGCTGGTAAAGTATGCATTACCATAGTTAGCATTCAGTAGTTGCTGCTGCAGGAGGTACATATTACCATTTGATTTTTACTTCTATGCTCATAGAAGTTCTTATTAGCAGAATGTAGATGCCTAAACACACATTCTATAAGTATACAGTTACTATTTGCTTATTTTTTTTCCATCTTATTTGATAGCTCATTACTCAGTAACTTACCACTGTATGGAATTTTCACATAAACCAACTGAAATGGTAGCATGGAGAATAGGTGCTAGTCAGTTGCATGCAACATAGCTCTCTCAGCTGATGGTGTCATAGTACTTTAGTGCTATTACCATTAAAAGCATTGTTAGTTTTGATTTTATTGATGATGATTCCATCTTTTTGGAAAGTGTTTAAAGGTTACCATTGTGTTTAAGTTAATGTTTTTTGAAGCTGTGTTTACAGAATGTGTTTTGGGTTAGTCAAAGCCATTTCGAAAAAGAGGGTAATTTTTATCTCTGTTTTGTGTGATTTATATATTTTTCAAATACTGAAAAATTGGATTTGTTGTACATAAAAATAGGCCAGTGTTAGAGCCTTTGTTATTTGTTTGGAAGAGATATTTTTTATATCCATGTTGACTTGCTGCAGCATCATTTTCAATTTGTAGTTCCTTATTAAGCATGGGGAGCTTACACTGGTAACAGTACTTTTGAATATTTTTTGTTTTACTTGATTTTTTTCCTCAACATATTCTGACTGCCTGGCATGTATGGAACCCATCTTTTATGTATGCAAATTTTTGAGTCCCTTCCATCACACTTCAGGTTATTTTCAGAATGCTGATCCAAGCCAACAGGTTTTGTAAAGTTTTGAGCTTCCACAAGAGTAACAAGAAAAGCTCATGGTGAATTTTCACCACCTATAAATGTGCATCCTGTTTATTACCCTAGGGTGGCCAGGGATGTGACTGCATCCCTGCTGATGCCTCCACCACCCCCTCCCCCTCTGGCCGAGTCCCTGCAGGGTGCTGGGGGGAACAACCGAGGGAGAGAGGAGAACCCAGACCACAGCCTCAAGAGACAAAGATCATGTAGCCCGCAAGGTTTGTACCCACTCATGTATCTACTCTCTCAACAGAAGTGTTGGGGCTCCATCTGGGTGAGAAGTGGAGCCGAGCATAACTGTGGTTACAGATTTCCTGATATCAGCCGTGAAGGCTAGGAGCATGCTGAAGAATTTGTATCATGTATTAAGAACCTTTTTTTACCTCCCTCAACTCATGATCACTTTCTTCTCCATGAAAATCTCTGAACAGACTTTCCTAATGCTGATACCTTTTGCACCCTTCAGGCAGTTGTTATGGTTTTATATTTCCTCTTTTAGGACATTATTATCACCCTTTACAGAATTTTAAGCATGTATTAGTTGTTTTTATGGCAGCCTCTGCCAGCTGACAAAATTTTTTCATCCTTGATATCCCCATTAAATGTATATCCTGTCATTTCGAGGAGCTGCTTCTATATTGTTTAACATGTACCCCAACATTATGAGGAGCTGCTTATTTATTATATATTGTTGCTCCCCACTTTGAGGAGCTGCTTGTATTTTACTAAACATGACCCAACACTGCGAGGAGCTGCTTGTATATGAATCTAGCATTACAATATAGTATGACTAGCAATAAGTAGTGAAATTTCAAACTTGTACTATTCTATTTGATAGGAAAGTAAATATTTATTTTCTGAGATATTTTCAGGTATGCAGATATGCTAGTGTCATCCAGTTTCATCAGAGCTTTTTATTTAAAGTAAAATTAACTAGTAGACTGACTTATTTTTTCCCATTTTATTTTCAATCAGAATGTATCTTTCCCAGAGACCTATTATAGATTTCTTTAAACCCTTTTTTAAATTTTTAATGAATTTATATTTATTTTGACTGTATCAGATGGAGAACATTAAAGAGTATAGGGCCTTCCACGGTATACAGTGTAACCTTTTATGTCAAGGCTCAGGCAACATAGGCACATTGTATCCATGAGCAGCATCCTTTCAGCTGTGTATGATGCAGATGTCATGGCAATTTTTTCTTTTCTTTATTTCTATATTTCTTTTACATTGCAGGCCAGAGTGCAAAAGTTAGCTTTTGTATCCTTAGGTTTACTTTTAGAAATCCTTTTCAATTATGAATATACTAAAGCTGATTATTCCTCTAGACAGTATCTTTTATTACACAAGCAGAACATTCCCAAAGCTAAACAGCAGGTCATCCCAATCTAGCACGGGGCTCTCTTGTCTCTTTCTCAATTTTCAGATTTACTTACTGCATTCTAGTAGAAAAAAGAATTTGCTTGTTTCTTTGTTTTTCACACTTGTTTTGTATGTAGTTCCAGACTGAACAGTTACTGTGATTGGAGCAAAGCCTAAATTTGAAATGTCATACTGTCACATTCTTCACCTAGGAAAGTCACGTATGTCTGTCCTTAGATCTGTGTAGTTGTTGCCTTGAGGGTTGTGAGCAGAGCAGCAGTTACCCACAAGTGCATATTTGCTCTTTTTCCACCATTCCAAATGTCTCCTTCAATCTCTCTTTAGTTGTGTGATTTATTGCAAAGTTTGTTTTTGTCAGGTTTGCTTCTGTATTGGCCCGCAATTTTTTATTTTTTGTTTTTTTCCTTTTTTTCTATATTACCGTCATTTGTTTTCAACTCATTTTTTTTTTCTATGCATTTTCTGTATTTTTTCTTATACATGTTTCCCCTCTGTCTCTGTGAAAATTGGTATCATCTTTTAAGGCTCTGATCTTAGTAACCTGGAGTCTTCTATGCTACACATTCTGATTTATGTACTTTATCTTACCCTAGATGAGAGAAAGTCAGCCAGGAGGTCCAGCAGCGATTCGGGTGAGGAAACTAATATTTTGCTGTTGTTACTTGTGTATATTGATTATGAAGGCCTTTGCTAGTACTGTTGAAATGTGTGCAGGATTAATTATTACCATTGTTAAAAGTCCTACCTGTCTGTATGCCTCCCTAATACGTCTGTGATTAAAAATAAATTAAGAAAAAATGATAGCAAAAGTTTTTAGCAGAGGATGTGCATCATCGGTATACATGAGGTGTTTCAGTGTGATATTTCATGTATGGGTTGTTTACATATACTTCTGTTTTTACTATATCTTGTTCTCTTTATCTCTTACTTCGCTGCTTTCCTTCATCTTAGCATCTTTAATCATCTATCCTCATCTCCCTACTCAGTAATTTCCTCATACTTTTATCTGTGTTCCTTTGATAACTTAAATTTTTTTTTTTTTTTTTTTCTAACCCATCAGTGACGGGTAAAAATTTTATCAAGTTTACTTATGCACCGGCTTGTTGGAACGCACTGGCAGTTTCCCCTGTTTGTGCCCGGCTCGATCGGTAGTTTGCGAGCGACGCATAGCACCTAAAAGCTTTTATTTTGCTATAATTTATAAAAATATTAGAATTTTGAAGGTTTACCTTCACTTTAGGTGCCATTACCTAAAATCTTTACCGTATAAATGAAGCCGCTACTAGTGGAGAAAAACAATCTCCTTCCGACGAGCCAGTAGCGCAGGAATGGGCATGGTATGATGCCCCCGGCGTTTGGTTCACAACAGCCATGGCATGTATGTACGTGACACCCGGGGCCAATGGGTTAATATATATATATATATATATATATATATATATATA